GGAGAGAGGAGAGGAGAGAGAGGAGAGAGGAGAGGAGGAGAGAGAGGAGAGGAGAGGGAGAGAGAGGAGAGGAGGAGAGAGGAGAGAGAGAGGGAGAGAGAGAGAGGAGGAGGGAGAGAGGAGAGAGAGAGAGGAGAGAGAGGGGAGAGAGAGGAGAGAGGAGAGAGAGGAGGAGGAGAGGAGAGAGAGAGGAGAGGAGGGAGAGGAGAGAGGGGGAGAGAGAGGAGAGGAGAGAGAGAGGGAGGAGAGAGGAGGAGAGAGGAGAGAGAGGAGGGGAGAGAGAGGAGGAGAGAGGAGAGGAGGAGAGGAGAGGAGAGAGAGAGGGAGAGAGAGGGAGAGGAGGAGGAGAGGAGAGAGAGAGAGAGGAGGAGAGAGAGGAGAGAGAGAGGAGAGAGGGAGAGAGAGGAGGAGAGGAGAGGGAGAGAGGAGAGAGAGAGAGAGGAGGAGAGAGAGTGGGAGAGGAGAGAGGAGGAGAGAGGGAGAGAGAGGAGGAGGAGAGAGAGGAGAGAGGAGGGAGAGAGAGGAGGAGAGAGGAGAGGGAGAGAGGAGAGAGGAGAGAGAGGGAGGAGAGAGAGGAGGAGGAGAGAGAGGAGAGAGGAGAGAGAGGAGAGGGAGAGAGGAGGAGAGAGAGGAGGGAGAGGAGAGAGAGGGAGAGGAGAGGAGAGGAGAGAGGGAGAGGAGGAGAGAGGAGGAGAGAGGAGAGAGAGAGGAGGAGAGAGGAGAGAGGAGAGAGAGAGAGGGAGGAGGAGAGAGAGAGAGAGATGGGAGAGGGAGAGAGGAGTGAGAGAGGGGAGAGAGGAGAGGGAGGAGGAGGAGAGAGGGAGAGAGAGGAGAGAGGGAGAGAGGAGAGAGGGGAGAGAGGAGAGAGGGAGGGAGAGAGAGAGAGGGGAGAGGAGAGAGGATGAGAGGAGAGGGAGAGGAGAGGAGAGGGAGAGAGGAGAGAGAGAGAGAGGGAGAGAGGAGAGAGAGAGGAGAGAGAGGAGGGGAGGAGGAGGAGGGAGAGAAGAGAGGGAGAGGATGAGGGAGAGGAGAGAGAGAGGAGAGAGAGGAGGAGGGAGAGAGAGAGGAGGGAGGAGAGAGAGGGAGGAGAGAGGAGGAGGAGGAGGAGAGAGAAGGAGGAGAGGAGGGAGAGGGGAGAGAGAGGGAGGAGAGTGAGGATGAGAGGAGTATGAGAGGGGTGAGAGGATGGCGCTGACCGACAGAGAGTCCGCGAAGGATGCATGAGTGGATTCAGGGGAGTATGACGAGAAGAGAGATAGATGAGAGGACGTAGAGTGGTAGAGAGAGATGAGAGGAGTATAGGTAGAGAGTGCGAGTATAGAGAGAGAAGAGAGTTATGAAAGTGACGAGATGCGATGAAGGATGAGATGAGTGTGGAAGAGATGAGAGAGTAGAGAGAGAGGGCGAGAGCGATGGATAGCGGCGAGTATGAGCAGAGAAGGCGACGTATAGAGGAAGGAGCGATGGAAGCGAGCAGTGGGGGAGGAGGTTTGCGGGATCGAGGACGTAGCGGGAGGAAGTGGGAGAGAGGACTTGCGAGGATGAGACGAAGATGGAGCGTAGAGCGATGAGAGGGAGTAGAGAGAGAGAGCGAGTAGAGAGAGGAGAGAGAGACGAGAAGGGGGAGAGAGGAAGAGGAGGATAGGAGAGTATAAGATGGACGAGAGATTCGGACGAGAGAGGTAGAGAGAGAGCAGTATTATGTAGCAGTAATAGTAGTAATAGCAGTAGTAGCAGTAGTAGAAGCAGTAGTAGTAGTAATAGTAGTAATAGTAGTAATAGTAGTAATAGTAGTAATAGTAGTAATAGTAGTAATAGTAGTAATAGTAGTAATAGTAGTAATAGTAGTAATAGTAGTAATAGTAGTAATAGTAGTAATAGCAGTAGTAGCAGTAGTGGGTGAATAATTGATGATTCTTCTGGTGCCTGGTAAAGGCCATGTTCCAGCTTCTTCTCTCCGTCTGAGATGCAGAACAACTTCTTTCAGTTGTTATCAGTCTTAACAAAGCACTAAAATGATCTCTCTCTGGTCCCTCTCTGGTCTCTCTCTTGTCTCTCTCTGGTCTCTCTCTGGTTTCTCTCTGGTCTCTCTCTGGTCTCTCTCTTGTCTCTCTCTCTTGTCTCTCTCTGGTCTCTCTCTGGTCGCTCTCTGGTGTCTCTCTGGTGTCTCTCTGGTCTCTCTCTGGTCTCTCTTTGGTGTCTCTCTGGTCTCTCTCTGGTCTCTCTCTGGTCTCTCTCTGGTCTCTCTCTGGTCTCTCTCTGGTCTCTGGTTCACGATGGTTTCTTCTACTTTTTGTCTTGTTTTCTTCCTGTGACATGTGGTGTTACTGTAAAAAAACTGAATCTGAATTTAGCAGCAGTGCTAGTAGTGGTGACACATGTATAAGATAGACCTGTGTCTGTGAGGTTTGAGCGGTGTCTGCAGGGTCTGGAACTCCTCTGTTTACTCTGTTACACACAGACACACACACACACACACACACACACACAGACACACACACACAGACACACACACAGACACACACATACACGTTTTTGTTACCTGGTGGGTCCCTTTGACAGGGCCGTTCAGAATGGGACCCATAGACATAATCTTTTTTTACCAAGACTTTAAGTAATACAAAACAGTCAATAGAAACCAAACAACTATTTTAAAGGAATTTTATTTTAGATTTTGTTTTCGAATTGCAGTGATTCTATTTTTGACATAGAATTTAATGCCACTCCATGTCCGATGTCTAAGGTCATCTGGTGAGGCATTAATGCAGGCCAGGCAGTGAGACTTCCCAGGGACCTTTCCAGTCTGTATGAAAGGTGTCATGGTCTTCTCCACAGCCTTCACCTCAGATGCAGACCATGGCTTTCTTACACGTTCTAGGGAGAGAAATAAAAATATATTAGCAATATACACTCCCAGGGTGAGGACCAAGCAGCCTGGCTGTAATCCCCCACCTGGTACACTTACCAGAAGGGGCACTGCCACTACCATGGGGTGCATCTGGATGAATGGTTGAAGGTTCTCCGCTTGAAGTTTCTTTTAGCCCGTCCGTTTGTGAGAGGATCTCTACTGCTCTCCCTGTCGCACAGAAAATAAAAATACAAGTGGCCTTTAGGGGAAAAAAATCATACATATTTTAATAATATCAAGAATTACCTTCAGGCTCAATTTGTATCTGGTCGAGGCTCTTTCCTTCGAATTCCGTCACTCTTCCCTGCTCCATGGCCATCAACACTTTGCTGATTTTGGCCAGCTCCAGTGTCCCCTCTGGTAGTCTGTAATATTGCCTGTGGATGCGAATGTCATGGCCGAGGAAGTTGGCAAGTATGTCCATCTCATTCTCTTTCATATTGAGAACTGTAGACATAGTAGCTATGTGCTTTCTAAGTTTGGTTGAGGATAGCATCTCTGGATGCACCGCACCACATTCTTTGGCTACCTGGCGTAGGGAGTCTGATCCCCTGATGTGGGTGTCTGCGCCCGGGCGGGAAAAGAAGTATGGGTTATGGTCAGAGATGGAACAGGCCCTTCTGTTCTCCACCAGCACCTCCATCGAAGCAATCATTTCAGGAGTCAAAAGAACCGGCACTTTCCGACTTCTTTTCCCTTTAATTTCAATGCGTTGAAAATGCTGACACAGCTTTTTCTCAAGTTGGGACAGTCCCAGAGCAATGTCAGAATGGATCCCAGTCTTACTTCTTAAGGTAAAGGCTGTCAGTGGCATCTTTGAAACCTCACCTTCCCTTCTTCGATTGAAAATGATGACCTCACAAAGAGTCAAAACTGCCAGTTTAGACCAATGCTTAGACGTTGGCTCACTTATTAGGGTTTGCACATATTCAGGTCGACATACCTCAATATGTGCATGCATGGCTCTAACGTCCTCAGTCAGAGGGAGCAGGTCCGGAGTGTTCCACTTGGCTTGCCGGAGGGTCTGTAGGGCAGCAGAAGAAACACAGACGTCCCACCTCTTCTCAAAAAGCAGCCGGCTTCGTTGGAGGTTTTTAATAAATAGTTCATCAACACAATGCTCCATTTTTGAGTCACATTCAAGAATATCTGCTAGCTTTCTGAGGCTATGGCCGAGTTTGAGGGCCAAGGATGGAGTCTTGTATTGATTTGTTTCCTCATCATATCCAGCCACAGACCTGACTGCATCAATCACATGGTTAAAGTTGGAAGGAATAAAGAAATCCTTAATTGTTTTCAGTTTCCCTGCGGTTTTTGCTTCGTTAATTAACCTACCGACTTCTCTCATTTTCTGCCTAATGTAATCATGCTTAGTCTTATCATGCCCGTGTTTTAAGTACAGGTGCTCTCCGAGTCTCAGAATCCCCTTTTCTGCTTTGACAACACCCGTGACCTCATCCTGATGCATTGCCGAAATTAAAGACCACAGCTTTTTGCTGATGCCCTCCGGTACAGGCTGGGCTAGGGAGCAGAGGGACTGGACCCTACTTCTACCTGGTTTAGCCTGGAGCCTGGGCATCTTTCTGTGAAAGCCGGCACCTGGCCACATGCCTCCACAGCGACTTTCGCTTAAGCAATGCCCCACAGTCTATACAGTGCAAAAACTCACTGGATTTAACTGGGGAATTTGGCTGTTTAGCTGGGACTAAAGTTCCAATGCCGGCCTTTAAAACCTCAAAATTGTGCTCACGGTTTCCACTATTCCTGATCAAATCAAACTGAAGTTTACGTGCTTTAGATTTCACAGGTAGAGCCAATGCTCTGGCTACGTCACTTTCATTTCCATGTTTTCTAGTCAAATGACGGGACATTTTGTGGCAGGACATTGAACAGTAGAGGCAGAAGTGTCTCTTGCTGTATACTCGCCCCCCATTTTTCTTCTTTTGCAGCTGCATGATAACAATCTTATTTGCCTTTGGTTCGTCACTTTCCGAGTCTTGAAGAAAAGTGTTTTTGATTTTTCTTTTTCCATACTTTTTTACAGGTTTCTTCTTGACAGTTAAATCGTCAGAATCTGAGTCGACTTCATCAATTAGGGACTCTTGACTAAGCTGCACAAACAACAAATAATTTGTAATCATTCTATATAACAATTTGAAGTCATGACTTGTAGTCAGCACTTACCAGTGGTTTGTAAGCGTGCGCTTCAGTGTGCTGCTCTGTGATTGGCTGCAGCCTAATGAACCACACACTTGCACCTTTTTCTAGCCTGACACCTGATTTCCTCTGTTGTGCTGCTCCATGATTGGCTCCAGCCTGCTGGACTGAAATTGCCCCAGTGTGCCCCTCCTTGATATCCCGCAACCCACCACCAGGGTTCCGACACATAACACACTTTTTTCAGGAAAGTAAACCTCCAGGGGTCCTTTCCATATTTTTACAGAGACTGCATAAGGACCGTTAGAAAAGCATTACCCATTGATTATTAAGCTTGGACCAGTGGGGTCCGGTGTTCGGGCCCCACCACGTAAAACCAGTCCCCATGACGTGAGTGGAATCTCAGGTTATGGAACCCACCAGGAGTTGAAAACAAGTGCACACACACACACAAAGACACACACACACACACACACACACAGACACACACACACACACACACAGACACACGCACACACACAAAGACACACACACACACACAGACACACACACACACACACACACACACAAAGACACACACACACACACACACACACACAGACACACACACACACACACACACACACAGCTGATTGCAGACCCTGATGACCTCATCATTCTCTTCATTAATGCTGTGTGTGTTTTCTCTGAGTTTGGGGCTGAGCCAAAGTCAGGAATCTGCTACAAAGGATCTGACTGAGCCCCGAACAACAGGCCTGGTCCAGACCTGCTTTAGTCCTACTTTAGACCTGCTTTAGACCTGCTTTAGTCCTACTTTAGACCTGCTTTAGTCCTGCTTTAGTCTGGTTCAGACCTGCTTTAGTCCTGCTTTAGTCCTGCTTTAGACTGCTTTAGACCTGCTTTAGTCCTGCTTTAGTCCTGCTTTAGACCTGCTTTAGACCTGCTTTAGTCCTGGTTCAGACCTGCTTTAGTCCTGCTTTCGACCTGCTTTAGTCCTGCTTTAGACCTGCTTTAGACCTGCTTTAGTCCTGCTTTAGACCTGCTTTAGTCCTGCTTTAGACCTGCTTTAGTCCTGCTTTAGACCTGCTTTAGTCCTGCTTGAGTCCTGCTTTAGTCCTGCTTTAGTCCTGGTTCAGACCTGCTTTAGTCCTACTTTAGACCTGCTTTTAGTCCTGGTTCAGACCTGCTTTAGTCCTACTTCAGTCCTGCTTTAGACCTGCTTTAGTTCTGCTTTAGTCCTGCTTTAGTCCTGCTTTAGTCCTGCTTTAGTCCTGGTTCAGACCTGCTTTAGTCCTACTTTAGTCCTGCTTTAGTCCTGCTTTAGTCCTGCTTTAGTCCTGCTTTAGTCCTGCTTTAGTCCTGCTTTAGTCCTGCTTTAGACCTGCTTTAGTCCTGCTTTAGACCTGCTTTAGACCTGCTTTAGTCCTGCTTTAGACCTGCTTTAGTCCTGCTTTAGTCCTGCTTTAGTCCTGCTTTAGACCTGCTTTAGACCTGCTTTAGATCTGCTTTAGTCCTGCTTTAGACCTGCTTTAGACCTGCTTTAGACCTGCTTTAGACCTGCTTTAGACCTGCTTTAGACCTGCTTTAGTCCTGGTTCAATCCATCAGGAATCTACCCTCATTATTTCAAACTTTGTCGACCGTAAAGTTATGGAAACATAAAACAGGTCCAGACCTGAACCAGGACTGGACCAAGTCACCCAAACCAGGCTCTACGGCTCGTTACGCTGTCATTATTCAAAGTATTAAATAAGAGAGACCAGAGAGAGACCAGAGAGAGACCAGAGAGAGAGAACAGAGAGAGACCAGAGAGAGAGAGACCAGAGAGAGAGAGAGACTAGAGGGAGCTGGGCTGTTTGCTAATTATTTAAAGGCACACCGTGTAACTCTTGGCCACTAGGGGCGCTAGACCTGCAACTTTCACGTTTAGCGCCCCTAGTGGCCACAAGCAACTCAGCACTGTCGCAAAAGTCAAACAGTCAGCCGGTGTCTTTTGAGTGTGTATTCAGACAGCATGCACTGGTGTGTGTGTTCAAACTGTAGAGACATGCCTACAGATATTGAGAGACTCTGCTGTGGTCAGCCTCCAGACCGCTGCATTAGTAATCTACCACACATGGACTTCTATATCCTGGATGAGGGAGTTCTGCGTCTAGCTCGTGCTGCGTGGAATGACATCTTTGCAGTCGATGACATCCAGGAACCAGGTGAAGAGCAGCGCTCATACAGACATGCAGCTTACAGCACGATCCCTTTCGCGTTTCCTCTTTTTAGCCTCCTCCGAAGGTTTAAAATTTTTCCTTGCCTCAGCCATGACCAGGAGTCGAGCAGGTGAAAAATGAGTAGCAAAAGCCTTAGCTCCATGAGTATATCAGCGCCTGTAGCCGTAAAGCAAGTCTTTCTTCCAAGTCACGTGACCTGGTGGCAGACGGTCCGTCTGCTCGAAACTTACATGGGCGGTATTTCAAGAGGGCAGCCCCGCTCGGAGCATTGCAAGTGTCAAGCGCTGTATATTGGCCCAAGTATTCATATAAAATAACTCATATGTGTCAACTCTTTAGGTCACAAAGTCCGCGGTGTGCCTTTAAGAGTAGTGCTTTAAGCTCTGGACACATAGGGTCTTCACCCTCTCTCTCTCTCTCTCTCTCTCTCTCTCTCTTCCCCCCCTCTCTCTCTCCCCTCTCTCTCCTCTCTCGCTCCTCTTCCTTTTCTTCTCTCACGCTCTTAACTCTCTCGTTGATGAAAGACTCTCTGTGTCAAATGAGCTCATTATGCCTCATTATCTGTCCTTTCAGAACCATAAAGACAACAGAGACCAGAGAGAGAGAGACCAGAGAGACCAGAGAGAGAGACCAGAGAGAGAGACCAGGGAGAGAGAGACCAGAGAGACCAGAGAGACCAGAGAGAGAGACCAGAGAGAGAGACCAGAGAGAGAGACCAGAGAGAGAGACCAGAGAGAGACCAGAGAGGGACCAGAGAGAGAGACCAGAGAGAGAGACCAGGGAGAGAGAGACCAGAGAGACCAGAGAGAGAGACCAGAGAGAGAGACCAGAGAGAGACCAGAGAGAGACCAGAGAGAGACCAGAGAGAGACCAGAGAGAGAGACCAGAGAGAGACCAGAGAGAGACCAGAGAGAGACCAGAGAGAGACCAGAGAGAGATCAGAGAGAGACCAGAGAGAGATTGTGTCCTAAACATTTATGAGACTGAAGTATCGTTGTGTGTTGTGAATCTGTCAGCAGATGTTGTCGTCATCATTTTTGTTTTGTCACATTTTAAATCCCTCGTTCAACTGGTCCCACACTCAGGGAGGGGCCAACCACACACTCACTGTCTGTAAAGCTGGGTCTGTGACTTTAAAGCTGGGCTCTGTAACTTTAAAGCTGGGCTCTGTAACTTTAAAGCTGGGGTCTGTAACTTTAAAGCTGGGGTCTGTCACTTTAAAGCTGGGGTCTGTAACTTTAAAGCTGGGGTCTGTAAGTTTGTCTTAAACCCATGTCTCTGGTTCTGGCTCTAAAATAGTTGCTTCTTCCGTGTCTGTCACATCTTTAGATCATAGAGAGGACCTCCCTCACTCAGCCAATCAGCTCTCAGCCCAAAGAGGCTGATAGTGACTCACAGAGCAGAGAGAGGAACCAGAGAACAGAAAGACAGGGACTAGAGAGAGAGCAGAGAGTAAGTAAGTAAGTAATCTTCATTTATATAGCGCCTTTCACAGACCAGAGTCACAAAAGCGGTTTAATATTGATATTTTTGGGCATTAGTCTCTCACTCCGCACAGAGATGGGAGGGGCCAGTACA